GCTTTGAGTATGATCGAGCCTTTTTGATCACACTCACTAAAAATCAAGCACAAGCGAACGCCACACTCGGCTACTATGTGTTCGATCGAGATGCATACCCGACAGCTGCTTTGGTTACGAACGAGTCTGTTCGATCACCCTCGCTATAAATTGAGCACAAGCGAACACCACACTCGGACACCCGCAGCTAACCCGAAAATTTGTGTAACAATGAAACGGACACCCGAACATTGCGATAAAATGCAGGACAACAAAGAAATTTAGGCTGAAGGTAACTGGCGCCAATATGTTCCCACAAAGCATACGAAAATGTTGTTGCTTTGTGCTTGTGCATACGCAATGAAAAAATTAGAAGCGAAGTAGATAAAAATGTTTTTGCATCTATTTCGTATAGTTTCGCGTGGAAAGCTGTGTGTGTATATATTAGAACACAGCCTAAAACTATGTAGGTACATAAGTACTTTTACAAAAAATAAATGTGCACCGAGTGTATAGGGCTTGGGCATTGCCGATCTACACACATTTATAACTAAATGGATGTAGGCGTCGTGATGTCGCATTTTGTATGAGCAAAAATATAAGAAATGGTTAAATGTACTTTTAAACAAACTACCGAAAAATTCAACCTTCTCTTTGCCCTCTACGCACAAAAACTAAGAACACCGCGATGAGAAGGCAACATTTTTGTAGAAACAAAAACGTCATAAGCCAATCAAAAAAATTTTGTGCACACTCGGGTTGAATNCACTCGGGTTGAAACTCGAACACCCGGGTATATTGAGCTGCAAAGCACCCGAACCCAATCAAGTATGTATGAAAAGCAATCGGGTGTTGTGGCCAACATGTTCGTCTTGAGCTCAGTCGATAACGAACAATACTTCTGCTCGTATACAGAGAACGATGCAAAACGGGTTTTGTTAGATGATCGAGTATACACGAAAATCATGCACCCGCTGCAGATGTCTGATACGTATATAGTACATAATTTGCAAGATAAAGCACTTTTGTTTATATGTAGGAGCAATTTTCTAGTGTGAATGCACTCGAGCGCGAATTGTGAAAAGTTGGTTGGAATTGTTTTTCAGCGATTTAACAGTTTTAATGTGTATCATTAATTTTTGATTTGAATTTGGTGTCGTTTTAACAAACTTGCTTTGGTGATATTAAAAATTTTGTGTGCCTTGCAATTGATTTTTTATTTTTTTTTTTTTGTGAAAATCACTTTTGAGTTGGGGTAGGAACTAAAGCAGGCTAAGCACATACATATGTATCTCAATTTATTATGCACAAATACAGGGCAATTCTGGCAATTTTCTTTCAACTCAACACAGTCTTTCGAACGGCAAAATTAAAAGAAAATTAAAAAAAAATAAGAAAGAAAATTAAATAAAAACAAAAAAGGCAATCAATAAACAAATTTAAATTAAAAAGATATATTTTTCCTTTTGAAACAATAAAATCTATAATTTAAAAAATTTTAAAATTAAAAAGTTTAAAAATTAAAATAATAAAAATAAATAAAGCAAGTTTCAAAAAATTAGAAAAATGTTTATAAAAATATTCGTTTTAAAACAATAACATTTAAATATTAAATTAAAAAGAATAAAATTCATGAAAAAATTTAATTGAGTTCATAAAAATAAAATGGAATTAAACAATACAATTTGTCTTTTTAAAACAATAAAATCTAAAAATTTAGAAAATTAGAAATAAAGAATTAAATTTACAAAAAGATTAAATAAATAAAACAAAATTCTAAACATTTAATGAAATAAAAAAAAAATATTATTGTTTTTTAAACAATAAAATCTAAAACTTTTAAAAAAGTATACTAAAAAGAAAATTTTTTTTTTTGAAAAATAAAAAACTACCAAAAACAAAATTTTAAATATAAAATAAAATTAAATCAAAAAATTAAAAGAAAACTGAATTAAAAAATTAATTAAAAATTTTATTTAAAAAATCCGCTCTCTCGAATAGCACGCCATGCTCTGTTCACTCGACCATTGCGACTGTTGGAACGACGCGAGCAAAATTGTCTATACATATCTCCATTTGGAACATGCTCAAGTGGTTTTTGTCAAAAAGGCTTTTCACCACGGCGAGTACCGCAGGCGATGGAAAAATGAGCTGTATGAGCTTTACAACGATATGGACATAGTGCAGCGAATTAAAATACAGCGGCTCCGCTGGCTTGGCCATGTCGTTCGAATGGACACCGACGCTCCAGCTCTGAAAGTATTCAACTCGGAACCTGCTGGTGGTAGCAGCAAGACATGGAGTTGGAAATAGTCGACTCATTACAGAAAACTGCATGATTCATGAAATGTCTAGGACCCTCGGGATTATCTCCATTGACACGGTAGTATAGAAATTATCTGTGATAACCTGTACACTGTTCCTGTGGAGATAAGCTTTTAGCAGACACAGTTAAACAGCGCCATGGAAAGTTGCAAAGTCATTTCCTTTTAGCCGACTCAGTGAACTCTGGGATAAAACACATGCAAAGTAGCATGTAGCAGTAGTAGAGACGTCTTCAGCTGACTAGAAACTAACTCTCAGCCCAGACAGAAGTTCTAACCGGACTCTGTAAAAAAATCGGTACGACTTAACACCTAACCTGAACAGGATATTGAACCCAAAAATTCCGTGGAATTCGGTATCTGTTGATTTGTAATCAGTACCTCGTCTTACAGGGGTAGGTAAAGACCAAAAAAACCCTAATGGAGGGCCTATCCATCTTGCCCTCTCACTCACACTCACAGTTTCAACACATGCTGCTCCCTGCTCTATGTTCTCTTTATATTTTATGTTTCAATTCCCGGTTTGGGAACCGCAGCTTTATTTGGGATACATCTGCGGTCAAAATGTGACCTACTACTTCGCGTCTGATAAATATAATCGAATAACCAAATTGATATCCGACATGGATGCCTACCAAAATGCCTACTACCCATATTGAAAATTTGATCTTAAGTTTTCTGTATTAATACATATGCCGACAAATATGTCCAAAGTTAAGTAAAAGTTCACTAGGTCATCATAACAGCTCGAAATTTAAACCCTAGCAATTTTCACGCATTCAATAAATCAATTTTAAGTGATTCCATTTCGATTACACTAACTTACTTTTGCAATTTCAATACCTTAAAACTTCTGAACTAAATACAACCACGCAGCCACAATCAAAAACCAAACGAAAATCAAAAAACCCCAAAAGTTTCATTAATTTCAACACCCTAAACTCATTCATTCGCCGGATAAGTTTATAAATCCAAAGAGAGGTGATGAACAAAAAAAACACGCAATCGATGCATTTGGTGCGAAAGTTTTGTGCGTTTGTGGTTAGCCACGAATTTGACACGCTGAAACTTTTGCAATTTTGCAGGTGAAGTCGTCGAATTACGCAAAACTTTGGCAGCTGCAGATGTATGCAGCTTAAACCTCTGGAGCTGGTGCTATTTGCATTTAAAATGAGAAATCGAACTGATTACGTACATACATATATACATAGAAATAGTTTAGTAGAATTAATTTGTTTTTATTTACGGGTATATACTTACGTATTTTATTTACATATTAAATCTAAAGCTGTGAAGTAAGTAATGAGATACTCTATCAATCTGAGATTAATAAAATGGTTGCTGTAATTAAATGATAGATATTTTCAATCTTAGGTATTAAACTTTACAACAACAGACGCAGAAGAGTTCTCACCTATTTGATTTTAGAATTAATTAAAATATATGTATACTTAATCAGGTTTGGTAAGTGGTTATAATCAGGGCAGAGGAATTTAAGCTTTTGCTTGGAATTGCTTATTATACTCGTTAAAGTCTTAATTCGGTATTCGGTAACTCCCATCATTGTTTTGTTTTTGTAAATTACCGAATATAACATTACCAACACACGCGTTAAGTTGTCAACTGATTCCTTTCTGTCACTTATTTGCTGGAATTTTCTTGCCCGAAAAATGCATACATTTTATCAAAAGTTCAATAAATCTTTCTGGCGTGGAATAAATAAATGTTTTTCAGTAAAAGAACTTCACATAAGCTGATTCGAAAATAATTTTAACCAGAAAAAGAACAAAGGGCGTTTGAAGTTGAAAGTGTTACCGAGTTACCAGATAACGAATTAATACATTAACGAGGATAGTTTGAATACCCTTAATGTATAAAGATAAAGTACGGACCTTTCAAGAAAACGGTCAAGAAATAAAATAGCAAATTTATTTCGTGTGTGTGTGTGTGAATAGTAGTGTCGAAGGAGTTTTGACATTTGATATTTTACAGCCTGCTGTCTCACTTTATCCTTACGAAATAATGGAACGGGCATATGTAGAATTGAAAACAAGGGGGCCTTGTGCTCTCCATACTGCTTAAAAAATTTTGGCTCAATAAGTTTTTCTTGACGATTTTTTGGGCGTTTTTTTTATTCGTCGCACTAAAACAATGTTTACCAATAATAACATAAAAACAGATTTGGTTTTTATTAACTTCTTTACCCTATTAAGTGCTACTAGCGGCGGAAATAGTTGAAACCATGAGCCACCGTTCGGCGATGATGAAATTTGTTTCCACTATTCGATCAGTGCACATTTAAATTAGCAATAGGTCGCTTCAAAAATAACGTAGCTGCCGAAGCCGATGGTTTGCCCACTGCAGTATTCATATGTTACAGCCAGGATCTGGCAGTTTTTGGCAAAAGTGGTGGAATGGAATCATGAATTCCGAAAACTACCCTCCCATATGCACCAATTACGGTAGGCGCAGCGATCTGAATATTCCTTGTAGGATCCTATCGAGAGCATTGTGCGAAAGACTTAATCCCACCTTTACCAACTGTTTCTGTTTTAGCAGTGTGGCTATAAACCTGACAAATCAACCACAGATCTGGTATTTAACTAACGGCAACTCCTGGGAACGACCCGCGGGGAAAGGGTGGACACTACAATCTTTTTGTCGATTTCTAAACTGAGTTGTACAATTCGAATAGGAGTTATCTTTACGCCGCAATGCCTCCGTTATCGATCCAGCCAACTAGTGCTACTTTGGTTCGAAAAGTCAATCGAGCATTAAAGTTCCCTCCCCATAAGGCTCTCATCATTCCCGTCCCAATGTACCGTGCAAAAGCGCAGACGATGGCTACATTTACTGAGGCGGTCTTTGAGAGTATTCGGGAGTAAGATTCATCTTAAGTTATACGGAGCTCTGCGCTACTGGATTGGATCCTATACATTGGAAAAACATATGGAAGAAGACAGCACTGGCTGGGTTTTTTTCATCTCCGTCAAAATTGGTTATGTTGATGTAACGCCATATTGATGGTAGTAATAGGTGGCCACAAAAAAGCCAGATTCTTATTTTGAGCTTAGTATAAAAAGTTTAAATATCACCCTTCCTCTTTTTTGATTACTTATATTCCATCTTCGTCGCATTTTATCAATCTCTCTCTCTCTTTTGTTGCTTTCAGGTCAAACGCCTCACAATGGGTATGGGTCTGCTGCGCGGCACCGAAGACAGTCGACCGCTTGTACACACAGCCTCATCCTCACTCAATTCGGGCTCATCGCAAACTATCTCCGATGGTTATGTGAACGAAGCGATCTGTGAACCGGAGAAAATGATTACCAACAAGTTCGGCGATTCTTGTCGGCAATCTTTGACCGCACTGCCAACGCACGAAGCAGCGCATATCGGCCTACAAGAGCACACCGAATTCAGCTATAAGAAGAAATATTTGCGAGAGACGTGCAGTGGTAAGGCAGCAGGAAGGCATTATTATTTATTTTTTTAACTATTAACTTTTTTGCAATTTTTACGCAGCCAACTCCAGCCCAAAGATGTTTGCGCCTAGCGCGCCGCTACGACTCGACAATCTCAGCCTGGCAGAGCAACACGAACTGAAGGGCGCTGCATGGTTTCAAGCCGGTATCCCGCGTGAGATCTCGCTAGAGGTGCTGTCGCGGCAAAGTCCCGGCGCATTTTTGGTGCGACAGAGTAGCACAAAACCCGGCTGTTTTGCATTGTCGTTACGCGTGCCACCGCCCGCGCCCAAAGTGGCACACTACCTGATACTGCGTACGCCGCGTGGCTATAAAATCAAGGTTGGTTACATGCATAATGAAACTCGATACCACCAATGAAGGTGTAAATGAAAGAAAACCAAATGAACTGGAATGCTCACTCTTTTCTTTTTCATGCTTTTACAGGGCTTCACCAAGGAGTTCTCATCGCTGCGTGCGCTCATCACTCACCATTCGGTTATGCCGGAGCTGCTGCCAGTACCCTTGACCTTGCCACGTCCCACAAATATGGGCGCAGGAGCGCCGGGCAGCCGGCATGGCTCACGAGGCAGTGAATTGGATGGCTGTGATGATTTCGATACTTATGGATCACTTAACGATTTTCGCAAAATGATGGCCGACCTGAATGTATGACTTTGGAGTGGCGCAGGAAATGAGGGCAAGGAGCAGAGGGAGGCATGTAAACGTGGCGGTGCAGTAATGGAAACAGCGACAGCAGCGGCAGCAGCAGCAACAGCAGGAACAACAGCAACAGCAGCATTAACAAGTTGACAACAAATATGGTGTTTGAGGAGCTTTTGGTGTGAGCGAAGCTAATAAATGATGCAGAATAGAGCGCAATGGAAGGATGGGTTACAAGAAATAAATTAGAGACGAGCAGCATTGAAGAAACAAATGAAGGCAAACGAGGCGGGCAGCATTACTACCAACATAGCCTCTGCGAAGCCAGTGAAGTCCTAAGGACTCATGTTGCAGCAATTGCGAGAACTTGCATACATATATTTTAATTGCGCAACAAGTATGTTAACAAGCTCATCAAGCAAAAGCTATCAGCAACGCTATGTACAGACGGTTAATGGGCAACCTTTGGCAGTGAGAAGTGTAGCAGAGAACAACAAAAATGCAATAAATAAAATACAAGTACTAGTTAAGACAGCAAATGTGGCTTTTGTTGCATGCAATGACAGTGACAATGGCAATGGCAATGACAGTCTTAGTAGGTAGCAAATGTTAAGCTAGCGAACACCTGAGCATCTCTCCGATACACCAACAACATCAAAGTAGGTATAACCATTGCAAAGGTGATATTCACACTGAACAGTTAAAATGCTGGTTAATTAATTAACACTGACAAGTGATGCAGGGACAGCAAGGATAGCAGAAATGGTGACAGCAACAAAATGTAAGCCGCACAAAATGACGACTAAAACAGTGAAGCAATATGCAGCGTTTGCTATTTTGGTAAAACTATCGACTAGATGTGCAAAACCCAACTTCATACATCCTCGTATACCTACTAACATCTCCCACTCAGCACATAGGCCATCGAAGCATCTTGAAATTTCGGTAAATGCATGAGGTTTAGTAGCATTGCAACAACAGTGCTACCGTTGCTATCATCAACCGTATTGCAGCGTCTGTCGTCAGGTGACTGGCTGACACTGGGGCTTCTGTTGATTAAGCTCAGTTGTAATTATTTTAATTGGGCAACAATTGCAATGAAAATGTGCGTGTAGGTACATGTTTGTATGTCAGTGTTGCCATTTTGGTAAAATTTTAGAATTTTCATTCAAAACGGAAAAATACTTTCTAAATTTTAAGTTTGCTAGATTGGTAGATCCGTTTTCCATTTAATATATTTTGCCAGAAGATTTTTTGAATCTAATAGGGCTGATGCCGGATTAATTTACACAATTTATAACGACAAAGTTGGGCATTAAAAAATACCTCACTGATTCGAATTATTGGGACCATCATTAAATAGGATTCAGATGGAGAGAGCGTTAAAAAATTTCAATTGAGGAAAGCTTGTAGTTTTTTTAAGGCATGTTCACAATGCCTACCTCCGAAAAACTTCTTCGACTTTTGGAATGAAAACTGATTCCAATGATTTCAAATGGATTTTTTTGAAGTAGTTCGGCCTCTGCAGGATACGATATGAAGCAACGAAAACGAAGCGCTCTTAATTTTTGCGTGTGACTCGGCTTTGTCATAATGGAGCACAACATTTTTCTGTTTATCAATTTTTGTCGGTTATTTAATTGATCTAAATAACTTTTCACAGTAGAGGGGGGAATCAAATTTTTTGCAGAGGGTAGGTTAGGTTAATTTGGCCGGCGTTGAGCCGCACATAGACCGGTAGGTCCTTAGCATTGCCAGTTGGAGCTCGTTTTTACGCGTTAAAGTAAATATCACAAAGGATGTCAACGCTTTTTGCGAATTTAGATAGAAGTCTCAGCCATACTTTTGAGATGTCCTCTAACTTCCCGAATTGTTTTTGACAGTGCAGAACATCGGCAGAGAAGATGCTCCAAGGTTTTCCTGATCTCCCGCTCACAACACTTGCTGCGCCTGCCCACACTAGTGATACCCATGCATGAACAGCTATCAGGATATGCCCTCTAAATCTGCAGTCTTTCTTTGATAGCCGTAACAAGACGCGAGTATAATTGCTTCCGCCGTTTTCGCACATAATTTTTGCAGATTTTCAAGTCGTTAACTCATTCCATCTAGCCCTGAACTGCCTAATCGTATTATCGTCTATTTCGTTGTACAAGTGTTGAAGTGGTCTACGAATGTAGTTTGCCTGTTTTCGTTCTTGGCAGTCTCATGCGCTATTTCATTAGCCTCTATTCCCTATCGGCGCCCAGCCTGTCAATGGCTTGCCGGCTGCGAAGGATGTTTATGGCTGAAATACTATCGATTAATTGATTGTCGTTTCGGTGTAGGCTAGCTCTGATGCTATCCTCATTGCGAAAACCTCTGCTTGAAATAAGCTGCAATAGTCAAGTAACCTTATTGCCCGCCTGACGTTCAGTTAACGGCACCCACTCCCGTTGCCATTTTAGAGCCGGCCGTGAAAATATTTGGGGATCTACGGATAGGTTTCATTCCCTCCTCCCCAATTGTTGTGCGAAACCTTCGTTCCCACTTAAAGCTAGGTGCTGGTCAGAGGGTAGGGAGGGCTTCAACAAAAATAGTTCCCATCTAGCCGCACCGGGCAGCTTATAGCACAATGACTAAAAATGTACACTCCCATCCACTTGAATAAGCACAATGCTTTTTCGCTGATTTTTTCTGGGTTAATTTTCTTTTATGCAATTTCCATTTATATTAAACTTGATAGAAAATTAAATAAAGATTCAACAATTTCAATTTTAGTATGCTAAAGTGCAAGTTTGGAGTAGCTACAAATTTCTGTTGATTTTTTAAATTTTTTTAATGACGCTCTTTCCGCTGGTAAAAAAGTTTCAAAAATCAACGGTAAGTTTAAGCTACGCCAAAGTTATACTGAAATTAAATGGGCTACGAGACTGCATACAAGACTCGACTTTTGAAATTTCGATGAAAATTTTTTATAACCTTTTTTTTAGAACCTTTTTTTTAATTTCCTATAAAGTTTGAAACTTGCGATTATACATATAAGGGGTATTCTCCGAGTCTTGCAAAGCCCTTGCATGGTGCACAGATTGCACGGTAAAAACCGGTTTTCGTATGGGACAGCTTTGCAAACCGTGCAATCCGTGCACCGTGCAAGGGCTTTGCAAGACTCAGAGAATACCCCTATAGTGTTTGTTAATGAATGGGCTGTAATTTAATTAAAAAACAAGTAAAGAAGTTTAAGTTCGGGCGAAACCGAACTTTATATACCCTGAGCAGTTATCAAATATCGTCGTTTCAACTTCCTCTAAACTACATTTGTAAAGAAATAAAAATGGTGAGCAAATACCTTTCCGCTGATACCTCATGAATCTATATCGGTAAAGTTTTGGAGCAGTTATTCAAGTTTTTCTTACACAAATCTTTGAAAAAAGTTAAAAAACAACATCGAAAATCTCATTACTATGATTCCGTCGATACAATTTTTTAATATTTTTATGTAGATTTTTTAAGCTTAACCTGTTTTGTCATCTGAGGGGATTTTTTCCAAAAAAAAATCCTTTAAGAACCTATTTTTATTCATAAAAAACCTCAATTTTTAGAGGTATTTTCAAACCGGTCCAGCTCGCGTAAATCTTAATATTTTTCCGAAATATTTTGGTAGAAGTCTTAGAATCAACTAGATTGTGTAATCCTGTCGGTAAAACAGCAACTTTTTTTAGTGATGCAGTCTAATGTGCAAGTATGTGCTTTCACAGTTACATTTATAAATATGTACATATGTATGTATGTGCGTAATGTAAAAGTATGTTCTTACTTACCAAATTCACTCGTAGCTGCATTTTTTTAATTAATTGCTTGACTTCAGGTATTTAACAAGGTGTTAGAATTACATATATGAAATTCTTCAATGAAAACCGAGAATCAAATCATCAATATTACGTGCTGGCTTTTGCGTTGGGTATTATGGATACGTATGAATATGACTACATAAATATGTACATATAAACGTATGTACTTATTTATGCGCAAACTTTTACATACACGTATACATATGTATGTATATAGATATGCACGCTACCGAACCCACGCGACACGACCACAAGATGGCTTCCCATTTCGTCGTGGCGAACACGCGAATTTCACTTTTTCACATAACTGCTTAGCAGCAATGAAATAAAATCGCACTATATATATTTTTTTATTACTACTTGCACTTTTAATGCTACAATGCACATTTGAATACAAATTCAATAAATTATTTTAACACTTTTGCACAATATTTTCCTGCTTATCGGATTGAAATCGCGCAGCAAACGAACTTAAGTAATATATCCGCGGCAAAAGTCTACTGAATACTGAAAATTTTTCCAAAAATTTATTTTTCCAGGTCCTCACTTTGAAAAGAGTTTGAATGAAGATAGGCAACTCACTCGAAAACTCTCAATTTGCAAATTTGGAAATTGATTTTGCGCGAACCGATTGCGCAGCAAAAAAAAAGCGTTTCAACAGCGTATGAAGAGTGCACGGGAAACGGAAATGAACTCTCACTCAAAGAGAGGTGGAGAGCATATTCATTTTTATTTCCATTTCCTTAGTGCTCTCTTCCGTTATCTGTTTCTCTCATGATACAAAATTTTAAGCGGAAATACGTAATTGCTCGCTCTCACATTTTCAAGCACAAAGCAAAAATACGTTCCTTCCGCTCTTATTTTGTATTTTTTGCAGCGTTGTCTGTTGCTTAAAATGTTAAGCTTAAAAGCCCATCCATACAAACTAATTTAATAAAAAAGAGTCTTGAATTTATTTTCAGTGATTTTACTATTGGAATAGATGGAAAGATGTTTTTCCAGGTGAACGATCGGTCAAAATGTGAGAGTGTATATAGGCATTTTCAGTATTCAGTGAACATTTGCAGTCGAAGTTAGTTTGGTTAATCTGTGGTTGTGAAAAGTCGCTTTAAATAAATTTAGTGTAAAAGAAATATACTAATTTTATTCCAAAATATATTACAAGTGTATATTTATTTACTTAAAAAATATATTTACATATATGTAGCTATTTAAAAGCTATTAACGAATGAAGTGAAAAAGTGAAAATAGTCAATAGTCGGGTCGCGTAGAAAATAGTCGGGTCGCGTCGGTTCGGTACTTTTATGCATACGAGTGTGCATACAAATGCATTGCATTTGCTGTATATGTATGCATGTAGGTATGAAAGTGTTAAAAAAAATAAATCGCAAAGTAATTTAAATAGTGGTCATGTGTGAGAACGTAAAATGCAAGAAATAGGTACTATTTAAGCAATAACAAATGCCACTTTATTGCGTCACTGACTGGTAAGTGCATTTCTCATTTTGAACCAAATGTAATTTCCTATTAATTGATATAAATATAGCTGGCTTTGAGTGAAAAGTTAGTAAGTCCAATTTTTTCGAAGGCTCATATTTCAACAAAAAAAAATTGTCAAAAATCAACGGTATTTTCTAGCCACTTAAAACTCACACTTTGTCGTCCTAAAATTGAATGACCTTCAAAACTTCATACCAGAAATTTTTCTAAAAATTCTGAAAGGTTTAAAAATTTGGTGAAAATTTTTCGAATTTTTATAATTTTTGTATCAAGTTTGAAAAGGGGATTTATATGGTGTTTGTTGTATAGCTAGCCAGGCTTTTATAAAAAAATATTAAACATAAAATAA